CATCCTCGCTGAGTGGCCAGAAGGTATGATGACGATATTATGAGTATTATGTCGTCATTACTATTTAGTATTTATTAATGGTTGATATAATTTTATGTATATTGAAGGTTTTCTTGTGTTTTAAAATATCATCTAGTAATCCTGAATCCAGTTTTATAAATGTTTGGATTGTGTCCGTGAGGGCGAATGTTTTTGTTTTATTTTTATTGAGCCTATTTAGAATTTGCGATCGTGATTTTGAAGTGAGATAAGAAATGATAAACTAATTTATCTTTTTTCTTTTATGATTAGATGACTATCGGCTATTCTGTGGTGATCTTGGTAATGAAGTGAATGATGATGTTCTTTCAAAAGCTTTTTCCCGATTTCCTTCCTTTAACATGGCACGAGTAAGTAGATTTCCCATCTAACTTGAATTCTCTTTATGTTTGGCTATGATTGTCGTGCTAGTGTGAGCATTTTTTATTTCCTGTTCAGATTTTTGTTTGAAGGGATGCAGTTGTTAATGATTTGTGTATCTTAAGGTAGGTCTTGTTTTATACTTCACTTTTGATTAGACATTTTTTAATGATAAAATTGATGTGTTATTTTGTCATCTCAGGTTAACCCTTCTTGTTGCTCGTTATTCACAATTCAAGGGCCATTGAAATTATATACTGGTGACCTAATGCACCTTAATTTTAACAATCAATTCATTTTAAAATCAGCGTTGTGATTATTATTTTGTAGTGTTGTGAGATCTCAATATCAGAAATAGATGAAATCAGGTGTCCTTTGAGTATTGGCTAACCAGTTTGAATTTGGTAGATTTGGCATCAGGTTGATTCTTACATGGAATCTTTCTACTAGATTTTGTTTGCTTTTCCTGCCTGCTTCTGCTCTGTTTAACCTACATACACATAGTATTCTAACTATTCAGAATTATTTCGACCATTGTATTTTTGGGTAATGTTTCTAGTATGCAATTCTTTCAACATTATACGAAGTTAAGTTTAGGTGTGGATGAGAATAATGGACCATTAAAAGGACTTTTAAATTTGCATGGGACCGTTCCTGGACGGAGGCTGTATAAAATTATTCTACTATTACTAACAATAATATGAGTGGAAATTCTGTTATTTTATTAAGATTTGATCAATAAATACAGAGAAGAGAACCCTAGTGCTGACCGTATCCCTACAGGGGGCATGATCCCACAGTCTGTAAGAAGCTTCTAATTACTGAAAGATAAAACAGGGTAAAATATTTACTGCACGTGGAATCATTGACTAATGGTTGAAATACTTGAGCCAAATGCTGGCATAAGTGGAATTTGGGTCTGCTAGTAGTTGTAAATGGCCATCTTGGACCAATGGCTTATCAGAGGGCAGCTGAGACTAGCTCTTGTGCGTGTTGGCTGGAGACATCGGTGTCTTTTTAGTTCAATTGGAATGAGAAAATTGGTAAAATAATGTTAAGGAAAATATGAACTGAAAAATTAGTAATAGTTGTGTCTATTAAGTATCAACTAATTATTTATTCTCTACAAACCAGGTTCTTAGTGCATAGTAAATATTGTGAATAATATATTAAGTTGGTGCAAATCGGAAGTTAAATAGGTGTTTTTGCATGCAGTAGTTCTCATTTGAGACCGAGCATTTTGCTCGGTGTCATGTTAATGGAAGTATGAGGGCATGCTATTTAATGGTGATGGCATCTAATTCCATCTAAAGAACTTAAGGTTTATATAGTCTTCTGTTTGTAATTTGTAATTTGCCTTGTTTTACTTGTCTGTAAGCAAACTAAACAATAATTATTTACACGGTTGTGGTGCATAGTAATGGGGACTGATTAAGGTTTTTATCTTTTTAGGTTGTCAGAGATAAGCGTACTGGTAAAACTAAGGGTTATGGATTTGTGAGCTTTGCCAATCCTTCTGACCTTGCTGGTGCTCTTAAAGAAATGAATGGTTAGTAAGTTCAGACGGGCCTCTTCAAGTAATACTCTGTAATTTCTAAATATATGTTTGCTCTTACTCTGTAATATCTGTTACTCTACTGACTTTTGCTTTGATTTAGTATAAGTATTTTAGTGGGATATAAAATGATAGCTTGGCAATCAAAAATTCATGATGGATTATTGTTTCTTTGAGTAATGAATTTCTTTGAGTAATAAATACTGCCAACATAAGGAGACAATATTTTACCAAATGCAACGAAATGTGTATTTTGACTTTGATGTCTCCATTTCAGGAAAATATGTTGGCAATCGGCCAATAAAACTACGCAAGAGTAATTGGAAGGAGAGGACTGATTATGAAGCACTGGAGAAACAGAAGGTACAATTTTCTTTGTCAATGATTTGAAATTGTTCCGTTAATGTATCCTCCTATATGTCCAATTTAATTCTTTTATTGTTTACAAGACAGAATCACATTCAAAAGAAACCAAAATTGTCCAGGAAAGGTGTGCTGCACAAGTAAAAAGGGCCAGAATCTGTGTAAATCAGGTTACCAACTTACCTAAGTAAAACGGTGTTTACAAAATGCTATTTGTCTTTTCATATGAAATGTGGTCTACTTAAGGGCCTCCCATTCAGATATTTATTTCCAAGGAACTCCATGCAGTGGGATGAGGAATTAAACTCAATGTATAAAATTTGACTTCTGCATATTTTAATGAAAAATCTTAGATTGTGTACACATGTTGGCCCTTTGGGGAAAAGGGTAAAACAATTTGAAGATCCCTTCCTGCATAAACTGGCTGCTGAAAACAGTGTTATTTTAATGGGAAGATCTATAGATAGCGTGGTTCTTTGTGTTTGATTGATGACTATCGACTAACATTTTACGTAAGTTACCTGTAGTTCACCTGTACGGTATCTTCTCCAGCTGCGTTTTCAAGAACTTCAAAATTTTCATAACATAGAAACGTTTGGTTAAGAATTAAAAACAAACTTTTCATCGAAAATTATGTGAAACATTAAAATTTAGAGGGTGTTTTATTTTTAGTATCCCATGAAAAGTTTACTTTTAACTGGCAATATCTTGTTACAAATTAGTTAATATTTTCCATTTTTTAAAGTCGACAAATTTTCAAGTAAAATTTGTTTGACCTAATTTATTTTCATCAATATTTTTTCTCGTCCAGTGTTTCTACCATGAGTCAAATGAAACTTGGTAATGATGTTATACTTTTTGTAGGCAATGTATGTTGACTTTCTACTCAATCGTGAATAGACGCATAAATAAATAAAAAAATCGGTCGTTTATATGTTCAAAACTGAAAATAGTTATAAATAGAAATTTTGGGTTGGAAAAAAAATGCAAAATCTTTTATGCGAGTCAATTTTGATCCGGTTCATTAAGAATTCGGCTCACACGGGTTGAACATGTGAATTGGGTTGGTTCACCAATCTACATATTTTTTTTATTAAATCAAATTAATTATTCAAATCCTGTTTTTTTTTATTGAAATCAAATTAATTGAATTAATTATTCAAAATGTACAATCTTTATTTAGCAGTAGAACCTTATGCGTTGCTGTCTTTTCAAAAGTTCTCCCCTGCAAATAAAACCCTAAGATTAGAGATTGGATAATATTATAGATGGAGATAAAGAAGAAAATGCTCTCTTATATGGAGATAAAGAAGAAAATGCTTTTAAGAGAGCATAATACTATGAATTTATCCATTCATGACTCCAATTTAATAGATGAATAATATTATAGATTGGATAATTCAGGAATATATCATTTGTTTTATCTTGCTATATATTTTTGTTAACGACTATATGTAGTTTCTTGGTCAAACGATTGTGTATGTCTCATTAAACTAAATTGACAAAATTTTATGCTATCAATTAAAATATATATAACAATATATTTCTTTGTTTCATTTTCTTTTATATCAATTGGTCTAATTATTACTATTTTAATTTGATAGATCAAAGTAACATGTTATAAGAATCTCAGAAGAGGAGGGTAAAACAAAAGTTAATTAAGCGAGTCAATGAGTCCATCCATTTAACCTACCAACCCGTGGTGGGTCGGGTCAGGTTCGAATTTTTTTGGCTCGCTAATAAATGAGTCGGGTTGGGTTGGCTCACTAAGTGACCAACCCGTGTGGGTCGGGTCGGGTTACCCGTTTTGACAGCTATAATAATTAATCTTTAATTTATATTATTCTAAATAAATTATATTTTTGACAAATAGCTTGATGAGGATAAATCACTTACAATCAAACCAAAATCGGGTAAGTGAAGATGGTAAGGTTGGTTTTTCACACAAAAATTAAAGAAGTACTTTAGTACATTAATTTTAAGTGTTACGGTAACCTAGGATGTGTTCACTTGATGAAGTATATTTGAGGGAGAGGGAGTGAATTTGAAGAGATATAAGAGTAAGAGTAAATTATGTGTTTTTTTTAAGGAAATTTGGAGGGGATTGATAATGAATTTAAAAATAAAGTTTGTATAAGATTTGATGGTTGTAATAAATAAAAAATGTTTAATTAATAAAATTAAAGATTATCAAAATATTCTTAGTTATAAAAATAACATAAAATGATGACAATTATGTTGTGTGGAGGAAGTGATTTCCTTTATAATGACCGCGTCATTTTCAACCTCGTGTTTAAACCTTACTTAGAACAAGTATAACATCATGATGATCAATGAAGCATGACGACTCACCTGAAAAAACGCTCAACAAAATTCTCTCCACCATAACAAAAATCTTAGTTCCTCCTTCAATTCATTGAATANAGTTCCTTGGAATATCCATACATGAAATATGTTATGAGTAGGGGTGGGCAAAATGCAGTTCGGTGCACTGTACTATAAATAATTGTAATTAACTATAAAATAATTCAAGTGAACTGAACTGAACTAAAAAATAGTTTAAAGAAATTGAACTGAACTAGTTTTTAGTTCAGATACACTAGTACAGTTCACTAAACTGGTACAGAAAACATCAACAATAATACTACCCTGGCAGCAACTAAGAAATTAAACTTGAATCCTAACATCTGTGGTCTGTCTCGACTGCGACTGCGGATTCATCGAAGAAATTGAACACCCGCCGCGCTCAGTCCACCTCGACCCTTGCCGTCGTCGCTTCCCTGCTGCCGCCATGTACATGATCGGCCAACGCCCTGCCTCCGACAACGTTGTCCGTCCCTTCCTGCGCCGCACCCGCCACAACGGTGGTGACCGCTCCCCCTTCAACCCCGTTATCGTCCTCCGCGGCAGCGCAGCTGCCACCTCCGCTACCAACGAGGAGGAAAGTCGAGGCTTTGAGCTCTTCTACGACGATGGTGCCGGTTCTGGCTTGAGACCCTTGCCTCCGAGCATGTCAGAGTTTCTACTCGGATTTGGATTCGATAGGTTTCTGGAGCAACTGTCTCAGATTGAGATCAACGGTATTGGAAGGTATGAGCACCCTCCTGCGTCAAAAGCAGCCATAGATTCCTTACGAACCATCGATATTGATAACACTCACTTAGCCATGGAATCACATTGTGCGGTGTGCAAAGAAGCTTTTGAATTAGGTACCACGGTGAGGGAAATGCCGTGTAAGCATATATATCACCCTGAATGCATCTTACCATGGCTAGCTTCAAAGGTTTTCAATTTGGGGGGAAATTTTTTTTAAAAGAAAAATCTATGGTTCCAGTTAACTGTACTCAAACTCTGTAAAGTTCAGTTTCTTTTAACTGTACTATAGAATAGTTTATTTAGTTTTTAGTTAAAACAAATTTAGTGTTTTTAAGTACATTATAGTATGGTTAACTGTAGTTACAGTATAGTTTATTGAACTATGCCCAGTCCTAGTTATGAGAAGAGATTTACGAAGCATACAAAAATAATACCTTTCAGAAAATAAAATTGGATTTTTTTTTTTGTATTTTCTTTCTTTTTCTTCCTGTGCAGCGTTTTCCCTCTCTTCTTCTACGACAATGGAGCTGTGGTGGCGGGCGTTGAAGCCGTGATGGTGGTGGTGTGATGTGGTGCAATAGTGGAGGGAGTTTGAATATTTTTCTAGTGTTTGAGGTGTGATTAATAATAATGGGGGTGCAAGAAAACAACCAACGTTTTAATTGATTTGAATTATCTTTTCTTCAACTTAAGGCCCATTGTCAGGTAACTTTTACTATTTCCGTGTTAAAGTGCGCCCACCAGGAAGAAATATGCTTGAAATATTTCAAATTAATTAAATTGGCATAACCCAAATAGAAGAACCCTAAGAAGTCCAAACGCTGTTTTCGAGTCCAATTTCTCGTTCCCTCTGCATTGTGGAATTCGATCGGAGTTGCGATCAATGACGACACCGCCGGCTTCCTCATCAGCTTCGCAATCGCAGTTTGCCTATTCAAACCCTTCCTATTTTCCCGTTCCCTTTCACCTGCAGCAACCTGCAACTACTCATTACGCTGCACCCTACGTCGCCGCCCCCTCCGTGCAAATCCCCGCTCCTCCCGTCGTCGGTCCGGTTGCGCCCGCGCCGGTTCCCGCTGTATACTCCGCCGTGCCGCAATACCAGGCCTGTCGTTTTCTTCCTTCTTAGAATACCAAGAGGGAGAGGTGGGGTAAATTGATTCAATTTATTTTATGAATAAAATGAATATTATGTGATTGAACAGGCGCAGCAGCTATTTGAAAGGGATGCACAGATAATTACGCCGGAGGCTCTTGAGAATGTTAAGGCAGCGATTGCGAGCAGCGACGTGGAACACAAAACCGATGCCAAAAGGAAAGCGGTTCCTCGCAAAGCTGCTGGCCAATCGTGGGAGGATCCCATCCTCGCTGAGTGGCCAGAAGGTATGATGACGATATTATGAGTATTATGTCGTCATTACTATTTAGTATTTATTAATGGTTGATATAATTTTATGTATATTGAAGGTTTTCTTGTGTTTTAAAATATCATCTAGTAATCCTGAATCCAGTTTTATAAATGTTTGGATTGTGTCCGTGAGGGCGAATGTTTTTGTTTTATTTTTATTGAGCCTATTTAGAATTTGCGATCGTGATTTTGAAGTGAGATAAGAAATGATAAACTAATTTATCTTTTTTCTTTTATGATTAGATGACTATCGGCTCTTCTGTGGTGATCTTGGTAATGAAGTGAATGATGATGTTCTTTCAAAAGCTTTTTCCCGATTTCCTTCCTTTAACATGGCACGAGTAAGTAGATTTCCCATCTAACTTGAATTCTCTTTATGTTTGGCTATGATTGTCGTGCTAGTGTGAGCATTTTTTATTTCCTGTTCAGATTTTTGTTTGAAGGGATGCAGTTGTTAATGATTTGTGTATCTTAAGGTAGGTCTTGTTTTATACTTCACTTTTGATTAGACATTTTTTAATGATAAAATTGATGTGTTATTTTGTCATCTCAGGTTACCCCTTCTTGTTGCTCGTTATTCACAATTCAAGGGCCATTGAAATTATATACTGGTGACCTAATGCACCTTAATTTTAACAATCAATTCATTTTAAAATCAGCGTTGTGATTATTATTTTGTAGTGTTGTGAGATCTCAATATCAGAAATAGATGAAATCAGGTGTCCTTTGAGTATTGGCTAACCAGTTTGAATTTGGTAGATTTGGCATCAGGTTGATTCTTACATGGAATCTTTCTACTAGATTTTGTTTGCTTTTCCTGCCTGCTTCTGCTCTGTTTAACCTACATACACATAGTATTCTAACTATTCAGAATTATTTCGACCATTGTATTTTTGGGTAATGTTTCTAGTATGCAATTCTTTCAACATTATACGAAGTTAAGTTTAGGTGTGGATGAGAATAATGGACCATTAAAAGGACTTTTAAATTTGCATGGGACCGTTCCTGGACGGAGGCTGTATAAAATTATTCTACTATTACTAACAATAATATGAGTGGAAATTCTGTTATTTTATTAGGATTTGATCAATAAATACAGAGAAGAGAACCCTAGTGCTGACCGTATCCCTACAGGGGGCATGATCCCACAGTCTGTCAGAAGCTTCTAATTACTGAAAGATAAAACAGGGTAAAATATTTACTGCACGTGGAATCATTGACTAATGGTTGAAATACTTGAGCCAAATGCTGGCATAAGTGGAATTTGGGTCTGCTAGTAGTTGTAAATGGCCATCTTGGACCAATGGCTTATCAGAGGGCAGCTGAGACTAGCTCTTGTGCGTGTTGGCTGGAGACATCGGTGTCTTTTTAGTTCAATTGGAATGAGAAAATTGGTAAAATAATGTTAAGGAAAATATGAACTGAAAAATTAGTAATAGTTGTGTCTATTAAGTATCAACTAATTATTTATTCTCTACAAACCAGGTTCTTAGTGCATAGTAAATATTGTGAATAATATATTAAGTTGGTGCAAATCGGAAGTTAAATAGGTGTTTTTGCATGCAGTAGTTCTCATTTGAGACCGAGCATTTTGCTCGGTGTCATGTTAATGGAAGTATGAGGGCATGCTATTTAATGGTGATGGCATCTAATTCCATCTAAAGAACTTAAGGTTTATATAGTCTTCTGTTTGTAATTTGTAATTTGCCTTGTTTTACTTGTCTGTAAGCAAACTAAACAATAATTATTTACACGGTTGTGGTGCATAGTAATGGGGACTGATTAAGGTTTTTATCTTTTTAGGTTGTCAGAGATAAGCGTACTGGTAAAACTAAGGGTTATGGATTTGTGAGCTTTGCCAATCCTTCTGACCTTGCTGGTGCTCTTAAAGAAATGAATGGTTAGTAAGTTCAGACGGGCCTCTTCAAGTAATACTCTGTAATTTCTAAATATATGTTTGCTCTTACTCTGTAATATCTGTTACTCTACTGACTTTTGCTTTGATTTAGTATAAGTATTTTAGTGGGATATAAAATGATAGCTTGGCAATCAAAACTTCATGATGGATTATTGTTTCTTTGAGTAATGAATTTCTGAGTAATAAATACTGCCAACATAAGGAGACAATATTTTACCAAATGCAACGAAATGTGTATTTTGACTTTGATGTCTCCATTTCAGGAAAATATGTTGGCAATCGGCCAATAAAACTACGCAAGAGTAATTGGAAGGAGAGGACTGATTATGAAGCACTGGAGAAACAGAAGGTACAATTTTCTTTGTCAATGATTTGAAATTGTTCCGTTAATGTATCCTCCTATATGTCCAATTTAATTCTTTTATTGTTTACACGACAGAATCACATTCAAAAGAAACCAAAATTGTCCAGGAAAGGTGTGCTGCACAAGTAAAAAGGGCCAGAATCTGTGTAAATCAGGTTACCAACTTACCTAAGTAAAACGGTGTTTACAAAATGCTATTTGTCTTTTCATATGAAATGTGGTCTACTTAAGGGCCTCCCATTCAGATATTTATTTCCAAGGAACTCCATGCAGTGGGATGAGGAATTAAACTCAATGTATAAAATTTGACTTCTGCATATTTTAATGAAAAATCTTAGATTGTGTACACATGTTGGCCCTTTGGGGAAAAGGGTAAAACAATTTGAAGATCCCTTCCTGCATAAACTGGCTGCTGAAAACAGTGTTATTTTAATGGGAAGATCTAACTATGTACGAATTGGAAGTGTCTTTTGGATTTCTATGCTATATACTATGTTCACATATGATAGCGTGGTTCTTTGTGTTTGATTGATGACTATCGACTAGCATTTTACGTAAGTTACCTGTAGTTCACCTGTATGGTATCTTCTCCAGCTGCGTTTTCAAGAACTTCAAAATTTTCATAACATAGAAACGTTTGGTTAAGAATTAAAAGCAAACTTTTCATCGAAAATTATGTGAAACATTAAAATTTAGAGGGTGTTTTATTTTTAGTATCCCATGTAAAGTTTACTTTTAACTTGTAATATCTTTTACAAATTAGTTAATATTTTCCATTTTTTAAAGTCGACAAATTTTCAAGTAAAATTTGTTTGACCTAATTTATTTTCATCAATATTTTTTCTCGTCCAGTGTTTCTACTATGAGTCAAATGAAACTTGGTAATGATGTTATACTTTTTGTAGGCAATGTATGATAACTTTCTACTCAATCGTGAATAGACGTATAAATAAATAAAAAAATCGGTCGTTAATATGTTCAAAACTGAAAATAGTTATAAATAGAATTCGGCTCGACGGGTTGAACCTGTGATAGGTCGGATTGGCTCACCAATCTACATATTTTTTTAATTAAATCAAATTAATTAAATTAATTATTCAAATCGTGTTTTTTTTTATTGAAATCAAATTAATTGAATTAATTATTCAAAATGTACATTCTTTATTTAGCAATAGAGTCTTTTGCGTTGTTGTCTTTCCAAAAGTTCTTCTCTGCAAATAAAATCCTAAGATTATAGATTTGATGATATTATAGATGGAGATAAAGAAGAAAATGTTCCTAAGAGAGCATAATACTGTGAATTTATTCATTCTATGACTCGAATTTAATAGATGGATAATATTATAGATTGGATAATTCAGGAATATATCATTTGTTTTATATATATTTTTGTTAACAGCTATATGTAGTTTCTTGGTCAAACGATTGTGTATGTCTCATTAAACTAAATTGGCAAAACTTTATGCTATCAATTAAAATATATTTTACAATATATTTCTTTGTTTCATTTTCTTTTATATCAATTGGTCTAATTATTACTATTTTAATTTGATCGACATGTTATAAGAATCTCAAAAGAGGGTGAAACAAAAGTTAATTAAGCGAGCCAATGAGTCAACCCACCAACCAGTGGTGGGTTGGGTCGGGTTCGAATTTTTTTGGCTCGCTAATAAATGAGTCGGGTTGGGTTGACTCACTAAGTGATCAACTCATGGTGGATCGGGTTGGATTACATTTTTTAAAAATAGCTTGAATAGGATAAATCACTTATAATCAACCAAAATGAGACGGGTAAGTGAAGATGGTAAGGTTGGTTTTTCACACAAAAATGAAAGAAGTACATTAGTACATTAACTTTAAGTGTTACGGTAACCTAGG